TTATAATATTTAATTTATTACAAAGTAAAATAGATATAAATTTTACAACACCTTTTTTACAATTAGGTTTTTGATAAAATTATACTAGCTAACGAATTTTCAGACTTAAACAATATTAAATTAAGTCAATCGGATTGGACATCTCTGGAAAATATTGCAGCATTTTTACAGTGTTTTGCTAAACTTTCAACTGAAATGTGTGCGTCAACATATCCCACAATTAGTGCAGTATATCTAATGTATAATCTTCTTATGGGTCATGCTGAAAAAAAAATGAATAAGAACAAAACTTCAAATAATATAGCTTTAGCAGCAAATGCAGCATGGAATAAACTTTATGAGTATTACAATAAAGCATCTGAAGAAACACATTATATTGCTACAATCCTTGATCCTCGCTGGAAAATTAAATATTTTAAGGACTGGGAAGATGGGGAAAATGGAGATGATAATTTGTATTATAAAAATGCCAAAGAAATGTAAGTTAAATTTTCAAAAAAAACTACATGAAAAATTTTTAATTAATTTATTGTTTTATTTAAATCCAGGTTTACACGTAAATTTGATGAATATCATTCCATTTATTATCCAGTTTCAGGAACTTTAAATAATAATTTGGATGAGGATGAGGACAGTGAAGATTCTTTATTTCCAGTTCCTAAACAGTTTCGTAATAATAACGGGCATGATGAGCTTAATAGTTACTTCAATAGTACTCCAGAACCAGGAACAATTAATGTACTAGAATGGTGGAAAGGTCATAAAAGTAATTATCCTACATTAGCGAAAATGGCACGAAATTATCTGTCTATACCAGCAACTAGTGCGCCAGTAGAACGATTATTTAGTGAAAGTGGTAATCTAATAACTCCAGAACGAAATAGACTCAGAAGTGACATAATTCGCGCAATTATGTGTCTTAGAAGTTGGTTAACTATTCCTAATATTACAAATCAGTAAAATCTAAGTAATTCTAAGTATTTTACATAAATAAATAAAAATTCACATTTTGCGATATTAAAAACATGTTTAACAATTTTATTTAATTTAATTTTTTGGGTTATACTAAAAACAAAAATGTAATACATGGCATAATACATCAATTTAAACAAAAATCAAAATAAATTATACAATAAAAAAGAGTAACATAATTAAGAAATAAACAAAATGCAATATTTCCTTCAAGATCCAGGTCATCCATTCGTCCAGGATTGCTAAAAAGAGGAGGAAACGTTAATGACGTTTCCAGAAAGGATAAAGATAAAAAAAAAGAACGAAATAACCTACCACATTTTGTTCGTTTAAGATCCAGGCTGTCTCACTCATCTGTTTGCTAAAAAGAGTAGGGAAACGTTAATTACGTTTCCAGAAAGTATAAAGATAAAAAAAAAGAACGAAATAACCTACCACGGTTCGTTCGTTTAAGATCCAAGTTGTCTACTCGTCTGTTCGTTCAGAGTTGCTAAAAAGAGAAGGAAAACGTTAATTACGTTCCCTGAAAGTATAAAAATCAAAAAAATGAATGAAAAAAGAACAAAATAACTTACCGGAATTTCATTCAAGATTCCAGTTCGTTCAGCTTCGTCCGTTCGCCTAAGTTCTGTTCCTGAAAAAAAGAAAAAAAGAAATTTTAAAAAAATAAGTTAAAAGAAAAAAAAAGAACGAAATGACTCACCAGTCACTACATTTCGTTTAAGATCCCAATTGTTCAGCTTTGTCTGTTCATCTGGGTTCGCTAAAGTAAAAGAAAAAGGAAGCGTTAATGATGTTTCCTGAAGTAAAAAAAAATGAAAAAAAGGAACGAATTGAATTACCTTTCCATTTGTTCAGGCTCATTTAGCAAGAAGCTTTATCTGATTAAATTCAAGAGATTTCCCATTATGTTTAATAACAACTGCTTTATTCGAGAAATCGGTATTAATTTAGTGAATTTTATTTGACGCTAATAGTCATATAGAAGAAAACCTTTTTTAATTTTTAAAAAAGGAAAGTATATCTGTGGATTTTTGGAATTAGATTGTTGTAATTAAGTTTCACAAAAACTGTACTACATGATAATCCAATGTAATATTGATCAGATGATCAAAAAAAATTTTTGACTTGAACTCCACTTCAAACCCCATCGTCTATATTTAAAACCCATATAACTTGGAAGTTAGAGTAACCTGACAATTTCGCAGATATAGTAGTAGTTACTAAATAATGGTTTAATACTTTTTGTCAGATATTTAGGTATATAATATAAAGATGTTAGCCGTAATTCAAAAAAGTGTCGTAATACAAAATTTTTATATGCCGTAATTAATTAAGGCTATAAAAATCTTATAGCTGTAATTCAAAATTTTTTAAAAAATAATTAAGGCTAACATCTTTAGTATAATATTGTTATAAAGCTGTGTTTATTTTGTTATTAAATTTTAAATATTTTACAAGATAATTTTAAAGTTATTGACAAATTTTTCATAAATATAGCATAATATGGCTTGTCTCTTATTAGTGTATGAAGATTGTATATAATGATTAATAAATTTTACTAAATCATGTCTAATAAAAAATGTAAAAAACATGTTGATATATCGTAAAATAATATTAAAATCATCATGTCGTGATTCCAAAATTTGCAGATATATACTAAAAAGTTACGCAACATTAAATCAAATTCAAATTTAAACGTATCAAATTCGATCAAATTCAAATTTAAATTAAACTAATCAAATAAAATCAAATATCTGATTCGAGAAATCAAATCAAATACAAATTGACCATATATTTGATTTGATTTGATTTTGCAGAACCCTACAACTTAGTTACAGCATTACTACCTAATTATAGCATTATGATCTAGTTACAGCATTAGGTAGTTATTTATTTACTACAATTACAATTAATTGCTAACTACAATTATTACATATGATTACATTTTTATCACATACTTATATAATTACGTAACAAATATTAAATCTTTTACTATGATTACTCTATTTTAACTATGTATACATGTGACTACATTATTTATTACGTACTTATGTAGCTACATAATAACTAGTCTAATGCACTAACAAAAATTTAGCAGTCATATGACATACTTTTAATCATCACAGGCAGCAGTTTTAGTTTCTCAGTAAAAATGAAAATGTGAAATGATTTTATTATATCACCTTAGAAAGGTGTAATGTACTATAACCATTACCATTCACATAACTGCCATGTAGAGCTTTGAAAATAACTCGCATAAACTCATATTTTTGACTCGTATAATTGTAAATTTTCGTTTAATTATATTCTAATTTAATAAAAAGTACTTTAAAATTAAGGTTTTTAACTCGTGACTTGACTCAACTCGACTCATTAGGAGCTCTACTGCCATGTTTATATTGTTTATATTTATCTTAGCAACAGAATTTTTTTGTAATCTGATCTCTATTTGTTACCTGCATAATATATTATTTGTATTACCATAAATATATAGCTGAGAAGTGTTATGATAAAATGATCCAAAAATGTATTACACAAATTTTTAAAATAGAAAATTTTTTATGCAGATTACCAGAAATGATAATAATTATATGATCTGTATTCACACATATAATGTATAAATAGACTATTTAGTAAATATAAAGTTTTATTTAATTTAATTTCATAATGTAAAAATAAAATAAATAAAAAGATAAAATTAAAGTAAAATCAAAATTAAAATAAAATTACAAAGTCAAAGTATAAAAAATCCCAATAAAAAAAAGAAGAAAAATAAATTCAAAAAAGAAATATAAAAAGAAATCTAAAAATAATCTAAAAAAAAATCTAAAGAAGAAATCCAAAAAAATTCAATAAAATCTAACTAAAAGAAATCCAATAAAATTCAAGAAGAAATTCAGAGAAGTTCAAATAAAAATCCAGCCAAAATAGAAGAAATCCAAATCTAAATAAAAAAAGACTAGTTAGTTATTGTAAAGAAACTAGACTTCTAAAATTCTGAAAAATTTGAAACTTATCAAAATAATAGCAAAAATAAAAACATTAAAAAATGATAAAGAAACTTTTTAAAAAAGACATTAAGAATGTTTAAAAATTGTTAAAAAATATTGAAAGATGTTAAAGAATACCAAAACTCAAAAAAAGATTATTAAAAAAAATTAATCAGGTGATATTACTTATATTAAATAAATTTATATAATAAAAATTAATAGGTGATATCATGCATTTAGATGATTCATCAGAGTAGTACAAATTAGTTATATTTGTGTATAATATTATGCAATTTAAATAATCTTTTTTTTTAATCTTTAAACTTTATAAAATAAAAAAAAAAATTCATTAAAATTGGATTACTGAATTTTAAAATACTTGCAAAAATTTCAATAAATATATTATATATAATTTATTATTAATAAAAAATACAATATTACTATAAAGATATATTGTAAAACCTAATTGTAGAATCTAACCACCCTTCCCTATCAAATCAACTGATTTCTGGCCCTTTAGGATGAATTTTAAGATACAATTTTACTACCATTGAATTCTTCTCATTGAGAAAAATCCAATGATATAAATTTTATTAAAATCCAATCAGTAAATCACTTAAAAACAGGGGGTGTATAGGATAAAAACTCCCCTTGTAGTATGCAATTTTGGCCAGAATCAATATACACAAACTCAAATCTGTTAAATTAGTGGGGTACAGTGAGGGTGTACGATATTAACGTACAAACTGGCCGGAATTAACGTTAACGCTATCACGTGCAAGTGCATACCTCCTAAACTCGGGCCAGTTTGTACGTTAAAATTGTACACCCCACTGTATGTTAAGTACCCCGAAAATAAGCACCCTGGCTAGAATTATGGCGATTTTGGCCAGAAATTATGAGGATCTTGGCCGGCATCAAGTGCAAAAAAGGGGTGCTTATATACCGCAAAATATGGTATATATTTTACAAATATATTAATGTTAAATGTAATTAGATTTTCATACAACAAAACCAAATTATTAAATAGATAAATAGATTATAAATAAACTCTTTTTTATTACTTAATTCATCATAAATCAATTCATTTTTAATCATCCATTAAAAAAATTAATAATATTAATCCAATTACAATAAATATCATGTTATTGCATAATAAATAAAGCTAATTATTACAAGAAATTTTCTTCCAAATCTAAAAACTAGATATGTTTTTTTGTCATAACAGGCACAGGTTTAATCTCCCTATAAAATAGAAAAGATGTTAATAAATTAAAAGTACAATTTCAAAATATTTACATATAATGAATATCTAAAATTTACCAAATTTGATCTGCATATTCTTGGATAGCACGGTCACTATATATTATAGAATGATTAATAAAGTTAAATACAAATTGAAAATGTACTAAATGTAATATTATACATACGATGAAAATTTGCCCATATGTGCAGAGCACATAATACTCTTCGTTGTCCATCCTTCTTGATCCTTATACGATTCATCCACCAACTTTTGTGTATCAAGATATGATTGGAAGTCATCAGAAATCAAATAATAATCTTTACCATGAGTCAAAGTGTTGATTAAAGGTGCAAAGATGCGTGAATCACCAAATTGACCTGATTCGATATCATTAATTACAGCTTGTAAAGAAGGATCCACTGGTACGCTACGATATCTAGATTGATAATGAAAGCAAAAAAAAAAGCGCTTAACAATTTCTACATTTTGTTTATTCACATGAATTTTGCTTACCTATGAGCATGTCTCAGGTCATCAACTTGATGAGCCAAATTTCCAAACATGAAAATGTTATCGTCACCAATTTCTTCACAAATTTCAATATTAGCACCATCAACGGTACCAAGAATTAAACCTCCATTCAAAACAAATTTCATGTTACTGGTACCGGAAGCTTCTGTACCAGCTGTTGAAATATGCTGCGAAATGTCTGATGCTGGAATAATAATTTCAGCAACTGAGACGTTGTAATCTGGGATAAAGACAACCTTCATAAAAAAAATATAAATACCATATTAAATATAATTCATATTATAATGATGATAATGATGAAATATTTTTTACCTTCAAAGAATCTTCAATTGAATTATCGTTGTTTACGACTTCAGCAACACTATTTATTAGCTTAATGACCAATTTTGCGATATAATAACCTTCGAGTTTAAGAGACTAAGTTAATAATCATTAAATTTCTGAATTATTTATACTTAAATTACTAACCAGGAGCAGCTTTTCCTCCGAAAATGACAACTCGATGAACAACACAGGCTCTTTCTTCAGAGGTCATCTTTTTTAATGTATTGTATCGGTGAATAACACTAAAAATAAAATAGTTGATTAATTATTTATCAAATAATATAATAAATTCAAAAATGAAGTTGAACATACCCCAAAATATTCATAAATTGTCTCTTGTACTCATGGATTCTTTTAACTTGGACATCAAACAAAGCATTCGAATTCACCGTAACCCCGGTTGCTTTTTGGATATAATCAGCCAAACGAACCTAACACGATGAAAATTCAACATTCCAATTATTATACAATTATTATAATATTAGGATCAAACGTTGCATACTTTGTTTGAAAGTTTAGCGGCGACCCAACGTTTTCTGAAATCCTTATTGTTAACGTGTGATTTAAGCCCTTTCAATAAATCAAGATTCTAATAAATTCATATTAGTAATAATAAAAAAAATAGTAAAATAATTTAATTTAATTAAATTGAATGATGCAAGTTTACCTTTAACCAATTTTTACTTCCTAAGGTTTCAGTTATTAATTCACTTAATTTAGGATTGGCCTGATGTAACCATCTAATGAAAGAATTTGTTATAATTAATTAAGAATTACGTCAAAGTAGAAATTTAATAATTAACTCAAAAGTACCTGCGAGGGGTAATACCATTTGTCTTATTTTCAAATTTACTTTCACCATAAAATTGGATGAAATCTTTGAAAATCTAATTAAAAAAAAAAACACTTTGTTAATCAAAATGAAAAAAAAAAACATATTATAATTTATAATTTGTCTTTACCGTTTGCTTAATCAATTCTGAATGTAACGCGGCAACGCCATTGACCCGATGGGAACCTAATAACAACCAATTGAGGTCAAGTCTGATTAAATTTTCATAAATATGGAATTTAAAGTGACTTACCAACAATGGCAAGATGTGCCATTCTAATAAAAAAATATATATATTTGCGTTAATTAAATATCAAAAACATAAATTGAATGACTTTCTGTTAAAACCAACCTCACGAATTGAGGTGTTGATTCTTCAATAATAGACAATTTGGCCAAAAGATCACGGTTATTAGGGATAGCCTTTTCTACTTTTTGTAAGAAGAACTGTAATCATATAAAAGTAGATTTTTAGAGTTAAGTGTTATTAAAGATCGTCCACTTCGATTACCACGTTACCTACCAAATTGATATCAAAGATGATTTGCATATGTCTTGGTAACAAATATTGTATCATGGGAACTGGCCATCTTTCCATAGCTTCGGGAAGAATAGTGTGATTTGTGAAAGCAAAAGTTTGTGTAACAATGGCCCATGCTTCATCCCAACCAATTCCTTCAAGATCAACCAATATTCTTTGAAGTTCGACAATAGCAAGTGTCGGATGGGTATCTATGGAAATATTTAATGTCAATACTAAACATATTATTTACAAACCGAAGTAACATCACTTATTCGAAATGCAAACCATTCAATTGGATGGCGACCTAAGTAAGAAATAAAAAAAAGATAAGTAAATAATATACATTTTAGAAATAACACGTTACACGGATTTTATCCATAATTACTTGTAAGGGGAAATTACTCCACGGTTTTTCTGATTTTTTGAAACGGCGAACACTACAAATTAATAACAATTACTTATAAATATAACATTTTTCAATATATTATACGAATGTCTCAATTAATAAGTACTCACATATCGAAAAGGCTAGCGGCTACCCAGAAATATTGCTGTTTAAGACGTAATTCTTTACCAACCATATGGTTATCATTAGGATACAAGACAGCAGTTATGTTTTCAGCTTGCATCTGTTCATAAACAGCTTGTTCGTATTGACCTTCGTTGAATCGGGTAAGATCAAATTGACGCTTGGGTTTACTACTCCAAAGACGGATGTTAATACAATTTTTGGTACCATATCCTAATTAGGAAATAAATATTCATAAATGAATGTCACAAAAAAACAGTGGTAAAAATTGAAATTAGGCAATCATTAACCTGGAATGGGTACATCATATGCAATTGCTTGAAGTGTATCACCGCCTTCCCACGCATATCGTTCATGACCTTCTTCATCAGTATAACGATTTACGGAGCCGCAAAATTGAACATCAACCACAACATCGAGACGAGGCAATTCCCATGGATTATCAAAGTTAAGCCAATAATCCGGAAATTCAATTTGGTATCCGTCCTTTAATCTATAAAAACAGCCGGTTTATATTTAATTAGATTTAATAAACAAAAACATTTTCATCATTATAATATAAAATCGATTAATTATCGATAGTGTACCTTTGTTGAAAGATACCATAAGTGTACCTAAGACCATAACCCCAAGCAGGATAATCCATAGTAGCTAAAGAATCCATATAACAAGCAGCAAGACGACCTAAACCACCATTGCCGAGGGCAGCATCGACTTCTTGTTCAAGAACGTCTTCCATCGTAAAACCCAATTCCTTGATGCCCCCTGAAAGGAAAAGATAGAATTATGCATAAACTCAGAATTGAATAATCGCGTAATAAGCGCATTAAAGTATTCATGTGATATACCCCCATAGTTGTCTTTTAATCCCAAATTGAGAAGAGCATTATCTAATGATCTTCCCAGCAAGAATTCCAAAGACAAATAATATACACGCTTAGAATCAACTTCAGTATGGGTCTAATATGAAATTAGGAGATTAATTGCGAAAAAAATAATTTATGTGATCAGAATTTAAAATTGCCATTGTTTTATGTGGCTATAATCTAGTTAACGAGGATATTATTTGCAAAATTAATTGACAAACATCTTATATAAGTGTAATATTATGCATACAAGTCATTGGCTTTAATTAATGATCGAATTTGATTTATTACAATAGCATTAAACTTGCAGTAATCTTTACTGTGTGATTCAAGGCTAATGAAACACATATTCTTTTGTATGAAACTAACCAAACCACTTAAAAAGCACTAACCTGTTGCGTTTCATTCCATCTCTTGATTAATCGATCTCGAACGCTGTAAAATTAGTAATTAGTAGACCTGTTATAGTGATCCTAATAAGAAACCACGAATTTGAGTTTACGACTTACCTATGAGCCGTTGCTTGATATGCGCTAAAATTATCAATATTATAGATCGATCTAGCGAGTGTTGTAGTCACGTGACGAATAAATGATTTTTGAAAAGATTCCTTATCTTATGAAAAGCATAATTTTCAATCAAAAACTTTTCATTGATTTGTCAAATTAACTAATTTTATCGGATCAAATACGAACCATCAGATTCATCAGCACCATATTTTTCCCACAAAGCTAAAGTTTCTTTAGGCAATTTAGCTATTTCTTTTTTAAGTTCTTTTTTCCCAACTCCGGTATAAGTACGTTTATGGTGGCCAGGCTTTGTAGTACCGTCAGCTTCAGCAACGTTAGCATTAGACATGATATATTGATATGTAAGTTACAAAGAGAAATAAAAATAAAAAATTTTACAAATGGGAAAAAAGGAGGATATTTATCGAAAAGTAGTAATCAGCAAAATCAGTTAAAAAACCATGTGTAAAAAAGATATGTGCATGTTGCACAAATAAGATAAGGTGATCTTAAATCTAAATAATCGATAAATTACAAATAAATGCTATCATCATGGTGTCAGAAATAACAATCAATAGCGGTTTAACGCCTCCTTGACTCTTATTTCTTTGTGTTATCGTTTAACAAAGAACACAATTCGTTTTGCTGATCGGTACTTTGTCTAAAATGAAAAAAAAATGCTGGCATATTACATCACTACAGATTTCATAATAAGTTTTCTTTCCGAATTTTTACATTTTAGGAAATATTAAGAACATAAGTGTATGTTCATATTTAGCGAACTGTGTTGGTAATTCTAAGGTTTGGGCGACATGCGATTGCAGGATTCTAAAATATTGCTCAGGACTGGATAAATGAACCGTTTTTAATATTAAGAATAGTCATTCAACATATTTGTTACAATAATAATAGTGATTTGTCAAATACTTATATAATAATAAATGAAGACACTTATTGCTTAACATATTTTCTATATTTTAATTTAAAATATGTAAATATCGAATGATATTTCATGTGGATTACTAAATTTGTATTTTTCTCCAATGATGACAAACATTCTTTAATCCTTCACCAAACGGCTTTTTTGACTCCAGGTATCTCTCCATTTAAAGCTTTCAATCTAAATTGATACCGGCAAAGTCTTGAATCTCGAAAGATACCACGAGCTCGACCAGTTTCAGTACAACGGTTTCTGATTGTTGAAGGTCGTGCATGACGAGGGAAAGAATTTAGCATAAGTTGAGCATGTTGCCTAATTCTTGGGTGAACCTGTTCGTTACGTGTAATAAATCGATAAGCTTGTCGAATTAATTCAGTGGCTGCAACTGTTTCGCGAGTTTTTATGTCGCGACGAACTCTTGCTTGACTTAAAATACGAAAATGCATTGTTTCTTTTTTTTCCAATGAAGCCAGTCGATCAAATTTGTGATTTTAACCATCCAATCGGAATTAATTACGTTTTAGTTTGAGAATCAAATGTGATCACTGATCAGTAGGGATGTTAACGGTTCGGTCCATCCGGTTTTCGGTCCAAAAACTGGTGGTTTGAGTACAAAACCGAACCGTTATAGGTTTAGAACCAGAGTTTGAACCGAAGTTTGGACTGAAGTTTAGACCGAAGTTTAGACCGGATATTTATAGTATTTTATACAAAATTGTGTAATGCAGATCATGAATTTAAATATATCGTATATCGTCAAAAAATTTTTTATTATAAGAAAAAAAATTACCAACAAAATTTCACATAATGTAAAAAAAAAGGAAAAAAAAAAAGACATATTGCAAGTATTGATTCAATTTTCCATTCTTTCTTTTTCTGATATCCAATTTTTCATGCATATAATTGCCCTTGCCGTTTCAGGATCTAACCTATTTCTAGTTTTTGAAATAGTTAATCCCGAAATTGAAAATGCCCTTTCTGATGGAACCGACGTTGCTTGGATTGTTAAATAATCCTTAGCTATTTGAGATAGTACTGGGTAATCCTTTTCATAAGTTTTCCACCAAATTAAAGAACCTGTATTACTATTTACTGGAGAATTTAAGTATCGATCTAATTCATCATGCGATACTTCTTGACGAATATTATTTGGATTAAGTAAATTAAGAAAATAATCACGAGATGATCGTGCTGGTGCTGATGGTATGGTTTGATTATTTAAGGGTAAATATGACAAATATAATTCTTGTAATTTACTAATAATTTCAGTTATATCATTATGACTAAATAATGTGGTTTTGTAGCGTGGATCTAATATTGAAGAAGTAATGGAAGATTGATTCAAATATTTGTCCCAATAGGCTTTCAATTTATTACAAATTGCTGATGCTATTGCCTTTTGTGTATGGTGATTTCCTCTTTGATAATGATCCAATTTTTTAAACATTCCATTAAAAACCAATCTTATATCACCTTGTGTAGGATTTTTTGATGATGATAATAAATTGGTTGCTTCATACATAGGTTCTAATACCTTTGCTAATTCCTGTAAAAAAAAAAATAATAATTAATAAATATATAATTATAAAATAAAATAAATAATAATTTATAAAATAAAAAATACCTTAATATGTCGCCATTCAGATATTGTTGGAAATAAATCTCCAAGTTCTTCAACATTTGTTGTTGCAAGTAATTCTGAAACACCCTGCATTAAGATTTGTCTATTAATCATAAAATATGTGGAATTCCAGCGAATGTCTATATCTAAAATTGGTTTAAGAAATTTAACTTTTTTAAGGGTACAAATTTCTGATAATTTATCCAAAAATAATGGTGAATTCTTGATTTTAACAACAAATTGACGAAGTTTTTTGATTTCATTTCCAACATGACTCATTCCTGCTTTTACTGCTAAATTTATAATATGTGCAGCACATCTGTAATGAGTAAAAGCCATATTATTAAACTCCTGATCTAATTCAGTTGCTAGTTGATTACCACATGCTATCATGTTGCTTCCATTGTCTGTAGTTAATGCAAGAATATTATTACTGATACTAAACTCTTCAAGAATTTGTAAAAGCTTGCTAGTAATTAACCCAGCTGTATGAGAACCATTTACAGGAATTAAATCAAGTAAGAGATTTTTTAATTCCCAATTGTTGTTAATATAATGCATTGTTACTCCAAGATAACAATCTTTTGAGATTTCTGAAGTCCAAATATCAGTAGTAAGAGAGATTTTTGAGTTAATTTGTGAGACTTCATTAATTAACACATTTTTTCTCATTTTATAATTTTCTATGAATTTTTCCTTTAAGGTTTGTCTGCAAGGTAAAATATAGTGGGGATTCAATTTATTAATTAATAATTTGAATTCAGGATTTTCAACAATGGTAAAAGGTTGCAAATCAGTTGCAACAAAATCAACCAAAGAATCTGTGATAGGTTTAGATTTTGATGGAGAGTAAGGTTTAAAACGTAAAGTAGTTTGGCGGGTTTCAGGTTTTTTATAATGTGATGGATGTTTTTTAGTTAAATGACGTCGAAGTGTAGATGTTGGATTACCAGGTGAATAAAGTTTTGCACACAAAATACACTTATAGTTTGTAATTAACCAACTTTCCTCATCTTGAATTTTTTGAAAAAACTCCCAAACATCTGCTGACAATTTCTTATTTATAATTCTTTCATCATCAGATGCTAAGGAATCATCTGATAAATTATTATCGTCATTTTCAAAAACTCCCGACATAGTTGTAATAATGCAAGGTGATATAAAAAAATGTAAGAATGTAAAATCCGTTATTCTTTTATTGTAAAAAGTTACGCGTGCAGATACACGTAACCGTTAATTGAACCGATCTAAAACCGGTTCACTAAACCGGTTTCTATCGGTTCGGTCTCGGTTTGGTTTGACGTTTGAACTGAACTGAAACCGGTCCTATGATCAAACTGCGGTTCGAACCATCCAATCATAAACTGTTAACATCCCTACTGATCAGGCATTCTTTCCGTAGTATGACTCTTACAGCGACACAAATTCCAACAAAAGCTGAGGTCAATCTTCGAAGACTCTTGGCTGTTTGCGAGAGACAAGCCTCAGAAGAAATCAGCTTAATACGTGGGCCAGATAAAGTGAAATACGTAGCAGTAAGTATTTTCTTTACTATAGTTTTTTTTCCCGATATAATCTAATTCCTTTTTCGACTCCTTTTTCATGTTAGAACATAAAATATCTACGTAAATTATTGGAACAGATTGAAAAGGAAGTCAATAGGTAAGTATTTTGACTGAGCGGATTTATCTCAAATGTAAACACGCTAATTTTTTTTCTAGTGAGCAGATCGATAAAACGGCAATTAGTGAATACTCTCGTAAAATCCAACAATTATCGAACATTGCTGACGAAAATAAATTGGTAGTAATTTGAATTTATCCTTCTTTTTTTGTTTTACTTTATTTTATTTTTATTTTTAAAAAGTAACAATTTTAACGTAGACATCTCCAGTAACTCGCACATTTTCACAAGCGCGTTTTGTAAACCATGCAAATCAAACTCAAACGGAGAAAAACAAAGAAAATCAATTAGAATTGAAAATGGTGCGGCAGGCTGAAAAAGAACAAAAAGAAGAACTATTACAGGTTTGTTATGAAGTGAAATCTGCCAAATCACTCACCATATGACTAATCACAAATTTTTCATTATATATAATTTTGATTACTAATTCTCCATGGAAAGCCGCCGACAACATTCACTAGAGAGCCCGAAGTTATGAAAACTTATTCCAAGAAACGAACTGGTATATATATATCGAATTTATCAAGTTATTAAAATTTCTCACTTTTTTAAATACTTTATAGAATTATTTTCTTCCGAGGCTCCCGGCTCCGAGATTAGACAACGAAGGTAAAAGATTGTTAGTATTTTCGTTTTATTTATTTACTTAATTTAATAATAATTTTATTAAATAAAGAGTTAATACCTTCGATCCCGAAGACACGACAAATATCGAAAGTGTTCTACAACATCACCGAAAAACTCAAGAAGAACTTACGAATGATTTGGTTAGGATGGTAGAAAGATTAAAATTGAATTCAGAAACGTTTGGAAATATATTAATAAGAGATGAAAAGGTTTGTCGTTAAAATGTTATTTTTTTTTTGATGAATGAAAATTTAATATTGTCTATTTAATGTTTTTTTATGATTTAAAATAATAGATTATAGATGAAGCTCAAAATGTTATTGGAAGTAATTTAGATAGATTGAAAAGAGAAGGAAATAGATTAGGAAAATACGCTGCACGATCCAGTAAGACTACTTGGCTAGTTTGGTCGGTTGTATTATTTGTGTGCGTTACATGGTTTTTGATGTTTATGTTAATTCGTATAATTCCCAAAGGATAATAGCAATATGCAAATTTGGTTTTTTCACATGACTTGCTGATTATCTATAAAATGTCCAACAAGAGATAATCAAATTAATTTTTTTAATATTTGTTGATCTGCATGCTTCCCTTCTCTATACTGTTCAAAAGCCATTTTCCAAACTTTTGTAGTTTTTGCCTTATAAAGATACTTTTCTTCATAAAAATTTCCAATCCCCAAAACTCTTTTTACTTCCTTGCGAATTTCTTCATTATATACATAATTTTTTCCTCCAATGATTTCAATATATCTAATCTGATCATCATTTTCAGGATCATAAGAATATATCTTATCAGTTTGACAAAACCTAAACACCTTGCGAGAGGATTTCGACGTCTAGTTTACATATTTAATTAGAATATCAGTATTCAAATAGTTATGATAATATATATCGAAACAATTTATGTTAATAACCTTATCTGAAAGCTTTAGTATACTATGAGGTCGAAAATTATCTGGTAATTCTGCCAAATTTTTTCTTTTTTTGTTCCATCTCTTATGATACTAATATGAAAAATTTTCGTATCAGAAACATAAAAAATAATAGTTTATAATTCAACAATAGAACTTACCTGTTTCTCTTTTAGTCTACCGTACCACACATAAATTGCACGTCGCTTCAAATATAAGTTAAATTTTTCTTCTGCCAACTTCTCCTTGTTATTTTGCATAATCTTACGATTTTTCCAACAATTTAAATATTTTCTGAGTTGTTGCTTTTGAAATGGTGTGAGGGTTGGAAAGGCCCCAGGAAATGGATTAGGAGGTTCGAGCCTTTGAGAAATGGACGGTATAATTGCTCTCGGTATAACGATCGGCTGCTGAACAATTGGGCCAAGACTTGACTTCAAAATCGATAACAATTACTCAAGTGCTCGATATTTAGACCAAGAAATATTTATAATAACTGCGTACCTCAAGTAATTCTTTCCCTAATTTCTTTACTTGATCTAATATAGCGGAAGGATAGATAGGGTTATGGCGGTTATTATGACTTTTATTTATTGAATCTACTATTGGTGGCATCTTTATTCTTTAAATAGAAATATATATTTATTTATTAATTAATTTCTTGTTTATTTCCACATATCAACTAGTGTATATTATAGTTGATTCTAAGTTAAAAGCTTTAGATCTATTCCTTTATATCCAATACCTGCCTTTTTTCTTGAGTTGATCATGCGGTATTAATTTTTTTTTCCTTGTATCCACGAACGTTAAAAAAAGCCCAATAATTTTTTACAGTGTCACAAATTCTTGTGCGTCATGATTATGAAATCGTATTTATCTGTATTTATCTGGCATGATTTAATTGGCTAGTAACTTTAATGCTTGTGCTATGTTAAAAAAATTGTTTTAAAAAAATTCATTTCATTTTATATACCACTCAAAATATGGAGAAAGTTTTTGTTTTCCTTTTTATACTTATATTTTCCTTTTCGTGCCTTTTACCTTCTCATGTAAGTGCGGCCAAACCTTCATTAGAAACAAAAATACACAAACTTAACGAAGCAACGCGCAAGAATCAAGGCGTGATTGAGCTTGATTCAAGCTTGTACGACGAATTTACCTCCAAACCGAGAAATTACTCCATAGCTATTTTATTAACAGCGCTAGATCCGCAAATAAATTGTGTACCATGCAAGTATGTTTGAGTACACTGTTCTAATTCCAATGTCGACTTTTGAAAAGTACTCATTTTTGATGGATAAATTAATATTGCAAGTAAACCATATTTTATTTTTCTTGATTAGAGAATTCGATCCGGAATTTCGATTAGTTGCAAAAGACTGGTTAGGATCTGGAAACGTTCCTTCGCGCTTATATTTTGGCGTTCTGGATTTCAAGAATGGTAGGGAAATTTATGCCAAGGTAAATATCTCATTTAAAATAATTGAAATCGATTTTTCGCGCAAAGAATTAATAATGTGTTTTTGTTTAAATTAAAATAGTTAAACTTAAATAATGCACCAACATTATTTTATTTTCCACCAACGACCGGTCAATATGCCAAAGAAATTTCGGAACCGGACCGATATGATTTTAATAGACGGTAAGCATTATTATTTTTGATTTGACGAATCATTACTGCCATTTCATAGTTATTTTGTTTTTTGAGTAGGGGATTTGATGCTGAATCACTCGCGTCTTTCTTATCACATCATTTGGGTACACAAGTTCCAGTAAATCGACCTTTGAATTATTTTGGCATTTTCATTACTATATTCTTTACGCTCGCCGGGCTAGCTTTTCTCAAATCAATTTATCCTATCGTGCAGAATTTAATTCAAAATAAGAGCGTGTGGACCACGTTTTCATTGGTATTATTTTAGATATTTATGTCTTGCTAAATATTGTAACATAAAATCTAATCTTTTACGCATTGATAGATCACTATTTTTATAATGATTTCCGGGCATATGTGGAATCATATCCGAAGTCCACCTTACATTATTCCACAAAATGGTAAAATAATAGCTCCCGGGTTTTCATCGCAATTGGGCATAGAAAGTCAAATAGTGGCTATACTATGTAAGTTAAATGAAATTTATTTACAAAAATATGTATTTGATTTTATTAATTATAATAATTTCTTTATAGATGGTTCCTGTGCGTTTTCGGTCGTAACACTAATAATCTCAGTTCCAAAAATTGAAGACAAAACGAAACAACGTTTTGGAGTTTATGTAATAAATTTTTATTATTCTAATTTGAAGATTTGTTATTAAATTTATACTTATTTATCAATTCTATTTACAGTTTTGGATGGGAATTTTAGTTGCAACATTTAGTGTATTGTTTGCACTCTTCCGACAAAAAAATTCAGGATATCCCTTTAGATTGTTTATATAATTTAATATAATTTTATATATTTGACCTAATAAAGTAGAATAGGAATATATTTTAATGATCTTATTAATATTATACGTGACGGGTAAAGTGTGATATAATAGGATGAATGATCGATCATGGGATCATAAAATGACCAAATTCAAGAGTTTCAATTGATCGAACATAAAATTTAATCTTCTAAATTCTAAGAATGTTTTTTTTCTTTGTGGGTAAGTCGTTAGTTTTCCTTTAAAGGGTAAAATATTTAAATAAAGACTTTCAAGATTATACATAACTTGGTTCATTTTGAATAAGGCTCATATGCACCAAAGCTTTCAAGAATGATATCCTCACCTGTAAGATGTCCAACCTGCTTTTCCCCAACGGTCTATCATTATAAAGTACAACATCAGTTGTCAATGTTTTTTATCCCTATCTGGCGAACTAAGTCAAAATACTTGTGGATTTGTGATCGTTGTAATTGGACAGGGTCCTCTAGACCTGAAGAACAAGAAATAACAACTTAGGACTCACATTACCAACTTGGGTAAAAAGTTTCTGGTCAAACAGAATGAAATATCAGAAAATAGTATGTTTTAGACTAAACGTGAAGAAATTATATTTATGTTGACTACAAACTGCATCTAATTGGTTGTTTGAAAACGAGCACTTGCATAAATGGAGCTATTTTAATAAAATCAATTCTTTTTTTACTCAAATAATTAGTCTGAATTATTTTATATTATTTTTAAGTATGCTAAATCAATTCAGAAGTAAAAATTTAACTCATGAAAAATATTATTTATTAATGGAACCATCCGTTCCATTAGTAAAATTTGTCAAAAATCCTGAGAGTAAATTAATTATAGATTATGATAATCCAATTCCGATATATCAAGACTTTACTTATGTTCCGTTATATCAAAGTTCCGGTATATCGAATTTCACTGTATATACAGTGCCTGGAAATAAGTCAGTAAGCACGTGACTGTAGATCATTTATTTGTTTAACTTTAAAACCAGTTTTGTCGATCATTTTATTATAAATTTGTCTCCAATTTTTTCCCATGTGTTGTTTAGAACCTTCTTTAACTACTATGTCTTGCAAACGAAGAGAACTTACAATTTTTGAACGTGGAGAAGTCATTGGAGCTTGGAAATGTGGAGTAAGTGAACGAAAGATAGCTGAAGCATTAAATTGTCCCAGTTGTACCATTCATAAGGTTATTTCTACTTACAAGATACGTGGTGATGAAACACTCCCTCCTAGGACTGGAAGACCGCCTAAAATGACAGAAAGGGATGGCCGACATTTAATAAGAATTCTTAAAAAAGATAGGAAAATGACCCTTCAGGAGTTACATGAGAATTTCGTTGATTCTACTTCCACACATGTATGCAAAAAAACTTTACTTAATTATCTTCATGAACAAGGTTTTTATAGTCGAGTAGGAGTAAGAAAACCTCTTGTTACTGAAACAAATAGAATTAAAAGACTCAACTGGGCCAAAGAACGAAAATTATGGATAAATGAGTGGGACAGTGTTATTTGTAGCGACGAATCCAAATTTGAATTATTCAGAGGAAATGGTAGGAGATTGGTTTGGAGAAGGCCACATGAAAAATATGATATTGAGTGTTTAATACCTACAGTAAAGTCAGGTCAACAAGGAGTGATGGTTTGGAGATGTTTTTCAAAAAACAATCTTGGTCCATTAGTTAAATTAGAAGGTAAAATAACAGCCACAGTATATATGAATGTACTGGGAAATTATTTATTACCATTTATTAATAATCTAGACGATCAGGAAAATTTTATTTTTCAGGATGATAATGCCCCTATACATACTGCAAGGGTGGTTAAGAGTTGGGAAGAAGAAAATGAAGTAAACAGCCTCCCTTGGCCCGCACAGAGCCCAGATTTGAATCCTATAGAGCATTTATGGGATGAATTGGAAAGGCAGGTGCGGGCACATAAGCCATTACCAAAAAACAGGGAGAATTTATGGGAAATACTTCAAGAGGAATGGTCAAATATTGAAGCTGATAAATATCAAAATCTTATTAGTAGCATGCCTCATCGTATCTCTGCTGTTATAAATAGTAAAGGTTACCCAACAAAGTATTAATAAAAAGTTGAAGGCTTTGTCTTTCAAATAAAAAAAAAAATATTAAATTTGGCGTAGTAATTTATGAATTATTTAATTTTAAAAATTCGCATTAAAATTGATCGACATCACGTGCTTACTGACTTTTTTCCAGGCACTGTACATTATCTGATATACCCAAATTATTCATTATATTTTTATAAATGCACTAATTATATACAGTAATACTTCTTAAGTGTATTCTCTAGTATAAATGCATAGGTTTTAACTTATAAGAGCTCTTAATATTTTACTCTATAAATGCACATCTTCTCTAAGTGTACATTTTACTATTTTTTTACTATAATCCCAAGAGAGATGTATTTAGAAAGTTATTATTATATGTCCTTTATAAATGTATCTTCTTATTTATCTTTATATATTTAAATTAATACATTTATAAATAAATATAATTTATAAATACTTATTTAATAAAAAAATTTTCAACTAAATTTTGAGTTTTATTTGATAAAATAAAAATATAACCTTAATATACCAATATTTGATACTAATATATTATTAAAAACTTGATATACTGATAAAATTTTATTTTCTTACTATATGTGAAACATATAAATATTGGTATAATTTAATATATCAATATTTCCTAAAATTTCATATAATAATATTTCAGTATATTATTATATAAAGGTTTAACTGTAAATGTTTTGTATTATCAGTTATATTAATTTCAAAATAATATATCTGATATACAATAAAAATAAAAATTATTTAATTAAATATTCTGATTATATAATAATAGATAAAAAAATATGCAATACAAAAAATTTAAATTTTAATATAATTTTAATATATAATGGTAATTTAATGATTTTTACTTCAAATCACTGGGGGTGATCATCACCGTTGGCCAGAATTATCAATTTTTACTGGCACTATATTTTTTTAATGCTGGTCGATCATCATAATTTCAGTCACCGGTAATTATCACCTCTGGTGATAGTTGGAAAAATTCATAATTTAATATAGGTTAGTATATGATATAATTATTAGTAAATTATAAGGTAGGTTAAAATCTAACTATTATTAACATTATGCAAATTTTAAATAATTAATATAGTAGCTTTTTAAAAAAATTCATCAAAGTTTTTAAAATCTTAAATTATATATTTGTCAATTAAAATAAATTTATTTAGTCTAAAATTTTAAAATGAAAATGAATACAAAAGCTACATTGCACTTCTTGTTATTTACTAAAATAACTGAAGTTATAAAGCCAATAAATTTTTAATCAACTAATTTGAATTATTAAGTTTTATATATTGATCGTTAGTTGTGTAGTATAAATATTAATTTTAAAAATATATAATTTTTCAGTATTATATAAAAATTAAAATTAATGTCATTCTTTTTTTAAAACTATAGTATAGCATTTTGTAAAAAAAAAAAAATATTAAAATATTAAAAAATTTTATTGTAATTATTTAATTTTATTTGTAAAAATAGTTTTTAAAAAATATAAGTAATCAGTAAAAATTTTGTAAAATATTTAATAGTAATAAGAAAAAATGTAATTTAACTTTATTTAAAAATTATTGAAAACTGATAATAATATTGAAGTTAATAGTAATATTATATGTAAAATTTTATAAAAAAATAATTTAATAATTCAAATAAACAGCATTTTTTTAAAAAATTAAAAGAAAATATACAATTGTATTTATGAAAGTAACTAACTAAACTAATTAGAATAAAATAAACATCTCATCAAGGTAGTGCAATATAAAAAACCTTATAAAAATCCTGAATAATACTAATATATAACTTACAAATAAACTTTAAATATATACCAAAATAAAAATACATTTTATGATATAATTTTATATTGAAACTAAAAATGTGATTTTATTATCATTAGAATCCTCTCATTAAGATGAATCTAATAATATAAAATTTATTAAATCATATTACTAGTTGTATTAAAAATAAGGTATATAGGATAACAAAATTTTGAAAATTTCCCTATAATATATAACTTTTAAAAAATTTTAATATAAACTCTAAATAAACTTAAATGTAAATTATATTAATATTGTTTGAAATTCTATCTTATATATATACAGTTAGGTAATTACAAATCCTATTTACTTATAATAAAAGCTACCATAAAAATTTAGCTCTTTTCTCTATCTATTAGCAAAATGGTATACAAATAACCAATATTAATACTTTTTATTTTGAATCTTATCTACTAATAAATGTGCATATATAAAGAATTGGTATACTCTAAAATGGAAACTCATAAGCATTATTAAAAGTAGCTGTAATAACTTATTTAATTCTATGTAAATATACTAAAAATTATTAGTAATACTTCAAGTTTTTTTAATAAATTTAATTTTAAAGAATCTATTGCTGATTAACTTAAATTAGTAAAAATTAAAATAAAAATCCACTAATTCTATTAATTCCCCTTATTTGGCCAATCTACATAAATTCAAAAAATTAAGTAATACCCTTTACAGAAACTTAATATTTTAATCAATATAGAATTGATATCGTTAAGTTTATCTTAACGGTATCATTTTGATATCATTTCAATATCATTTCAATATTGATTTAATATCGATATTAAAATGATATTGAAATGATATCACTTGAAAACTTAAAGTTTCTGTAAAGTTACTTTTGAAATTTTTAAAAAAACTTCGAAGTTGGACGAAATTACTAAAACTTTCAGAAACTTCGTAGGGCTGGAGTCCCTACAAAATTAATTTTTCTTTAAAAAAAATTTTGTTAAAACTTTTTAAAGAAAAAGATTTTAAAGTTTAAACTTTATCAAAAAGTTTAAATATATATATATATTTTAATTAAATTATATTATTTATTTTTACTCACCTTAGGAACTGAACT